TTAATCTTGTTAAAATTCACACTGAAAGGAATCCCTCTGATATGGGAACAAAAATTCTACCTGCAAGTAAATTTAAATTGTGCTTATTTTTATTACATATTGACACTGGTTAATTTTTCTTGCAGGTAGTAGGCGATGATGATGAACAGTTCTTCCATGTGTAAATTCGCAACCAAGAGAGAGTGTTATGAGAACCAAGGTGAAGAATGTGAGAATATGGTTCTCTTAACTCCATTAGACTTAACTGCTATTTGTGTAATTCACATGGATTGTGCTTGTCTAGTTTTATTATGGACCATTGGATGGGATCGATGGCCAGGATTTAATCTATTTGAGATATTTTTGTTGCCTTGTCTTGGGGGAGAAGTTTTGACTTGATAGTTACCACAAAAAGGGGCTTCCCCCACGTTTTTCGAAGACAGGTCTTTTCTCTCTTCTCCAGTCGACCACTCTCTCCATTTTGCACCTTCTGCTTGGTAGAAGGTTGAAGGTGCGTTGGTGGCGGTTTCTAGCGAGGTTCTTTGCCGATTTTTCTCTCTCTCTTTGGAAGGTAATTTGCATGACATGAGAGCTGTTCCTGAGCTTATAAATCAGCCATAAGGAAGAGGAGAAGTTGCTGTCCATTTCGGCCGAGATTAGGTTGTGTTTTTCCATTTTATATTCCTTGATTTTGCCTTGGAATCTTTTATTGTTTAATTGAACTCCAAGGATCCCAACAGTTTGTTTTTTTGTTTTTTTTTTTGTGTGGTTGTGTTGGTCACCTATGTAATGATCAAACAACAGAGAGAGAGAGAGAGAGAGAGACCTACGGCAACTGTCAAAATATGTTGCAAAAACTAAGGATATAAGTATAGACAATAGATAAAAATCGTTGCAAAAAGGTCATTAGCAACATTCAAAGAGCACTACAAAAGATTATTCGCAACGTTCAAAAAATGCTGCAAAAAGGTTATTAGCAACGTTCAAAGAACGCTGCAAAAAGATTTTTCACAATGTTCAAAAAACGTTGTTGTATCCTTCTACTATAAGCAACATCGAAGTTTGCAACATACGCCTGAACGTTGCAAAAGGTCTATGACAACATTTTTTGAACGTTGTAAAATGCAGTTTTTGGTGTAGTCTGACGATATGCGAGTGGATGAGAGTCATCAATGACGGTTCAAGATGGAACAATTGCCAACTTGAAATTTTTAAAAAGGAGAATAATAAAATAAAATAATTGTAGAAACTTTCTCCATTTTTGTATTTGCAAAATCACATCACGTATATTGTCGTTCTTACGCAGTTTACATGAACAAGCTATATACACGACAATATTGATCCTTCAAAAAAAATAAAAAATAAAAAATCCATACAATATTTTTAGCATTTAATTAATAAACACTATATTGATTTTATAGTTGTAAATATATTGTATTCATTCTCGAATGTTGAATCTGATAAAGTTAAGAATAAGTGTTTGTTTGGTAGGAATTTTGTTAATTTATTTTTTGACTGTTAGAGATAAAATGGATCATATTTGTGAGAGAAGAATTAAAAAATGACGATTGATATGATGAAATAACGATAAAAAAAGTTGATTTTAATTGGATTAAAATCTCTACCAAACATGGTCTAAATAACATGTATATATTGTTAATGTTTTATCGAGTCAACCATACACCACAAGCCTTCAATGTAATTGCAAATTCTTTTTTTGTCTACTCCAAAAGAATTAAAAGAATTAAAATTATTAGTTGCATTCAAAGTGTTTTAATTTTTAATGTTAAAAATAATAAAATAATCTATATAAAACCTAATTAAAATAAAAGATATTAAAAAATAATAAATATTTTTTTAAATAAATAAAATTAAGCGTTAAATATAAAGAGTTTGTTGTGGTAATTCAAAATTTTAATTATCTTAATTTATAGATATTTTTAAATAGGAGATATTTTTAAATAGGAGAATATATTTTTTAAAAATGTAAAAGCTTGTAAATAGTGAAAATGAAATGACAAATTAACAAATGAGTGAATACAAAGGACAAAAGCTTCTTCTTCACATTTGCTGGCCATGGCCAGCACCTTTTCAGTTTTTTTCCCCTTAAAAGGGTCACTTTCATTTCCACATACGATTCTTGGACCATTCATATCAACAAATAAATATCAATTCGTCACCATTGAATTCATTATTAACATTTAACAAATATAGCAACCAAAATTTTGAATTACAAAAATCCAAAATTCTCGCTCACGCTTTCTCTCTCTTTCTTTACCCATCTATTTAAAGGGATACAAATATTTAGCTAAATGCATACGAACGTTGAAAGAATCTTGAAATAGTTGGTGAAGAACACTAAAGATTACATTTTTTATATAATTTTTCAAGAAATGGCGTCAAATATTGGGATGATGGATAGTGCATACTTTGTGGGGAGAAATGAGATTCTTACATGGATCAATGCAAGGCTTCAGATTAATCTCTCTCGTGTTGAAGAGGTAAAAATCTGATATTTTTGCGTCATTCTTGACATTATATAATATTCATCTGTTGAATTTTCCCCCCTTTTTTTGAAGATTGGATTTATGGGTCTATTTACCTGAATATTGATATATAAACTTTTTTTTTTTTTGTGCTTTGAGTTTGGCTTGTGATATAATGTATATTCTCCTATTATTTTACAAAGAAGGCAATTTTATATTGTTTAAATAAGGATTATTATTTCTCAATTAAACTGATGTGCCTTTTGTTGCATTCATAGTTATTTGTATTATATTGATCGACTTGTTACCAGGGTTCAATCAGAGTCTGAATTATTACACGCTGTTTGGCAAATTTATAAATGGTTTATAAATAAAAATAGTAGGAAGGATAATATTGGATTGCACGAAAGGTGTGGATAATAATGTATCCCAATGGAAGTTAATTTCTGCAATTGAGTTCTGTCCAAAGCATGGAGAAGTGAGTGTAGATTTTAATTTTTGATGTACGGCAAAATAGTTACACCAAAATGCTTTAGCATAAGTTGCCAATAGTTATAAAAAACAAATGTTGGGGGTTCGACCATGTGATGTCCTTAAAAATACATATGGTATGGTCATTAATATGGGACTAAGATATAGGTATACTGACGATGAATGAGTAGTGGCCGATGGTTGAGAACATGAGATTGTTGAACGGTTTCGTATTTTTATGGCTGCACATTGTGTATTTATGTTCTACTAAAAGCTAGAATGATCCAACTCTGTTGAAGACCACGATAAAGAGCAATCTTTGGACCTACCTCTAATTTCAAAGGGCTATTGTGGGTTTGATTAGAAACTGTTTCATATTAATGTTAGATTACAATTTAGCAACCTTTTTCCTTGTATCTTATGTACTAGCTATTACCAAGAACTGAAGAACTGTGCATGGTTTTCTCGCATAACAAGAGTCGAGAATTCTAATCATAAACCTTTTATGCTAGGCTGCATCTGGTGCTGTGCAATGTCAGATGATGGACATGACCCATCCAGGAGTTGTTCCGATGCATAAAGTTAGAACCTTCTTTCTGTATTTTTTCTGGTGCACGCGTTCTATGATGCAACATCGTTTCTTACAAAGTGAACTTTCATAGGTGAACTTTGATGCTAAGACAGAGTATGATATGATCCAGAACTACAAAGTGCTGCAGGATGTTTTTAACAAGCTTAAAATCGACAAGGTAACCCTTCTTTATACAAATTTTATTTTGTTTTTCTATGAGTACTTCTACGACATATGTCACGTGTTATATGAATAAAATACTTTTGTTTCTTTAACTAATTACTTTTAGTGGATTCCCTGGAAATTGCTTAACTAAGAAAGTGAAGTGAAAAAGAAAATCTTAAGATCGCTACCTTTAAACCTTCATTTCTTTCGATTTCGGTGCAGCATGTTGAGGTCAATCGACTTGTTAAGGGAAGGCCATTAGACAACTTGGAGTTTCTGCAATGGCTGAAACGCTATTGTGATTCAGTGAATGGTGGCATTATGAATGAGTAATACTTTATTTGACTTATTTGGGCCGTTGAACTGTCTCATGTAGCATCAGTTACCTTATTATACATTTTTTTGTGCTGGTTTGAGTCGTCCAGGAATTACAATCCATTGGATCGCAGATGTAAAGGTGGAAAGGAACGGAATATCAAAGGTGCTCAGAAGATGTCCAAGTCGTTGCAAACAAACAACTATTCCAATTCTCGCTCGGGCGATGGAATTGGCAATAATAAGTTAAATGGTCAGTCCGCACCTTATCTTTTTCTTTGAGTCCTTCACATTCTTGTTGAATATATCTTGATGTAGGTACCAAACAAGGGAAGTCGACTGCTGTGGCTGGTGGTGTCAATTCATCAGTGGAGATTCAGGCATTGAAAGAGGAGGTAATACTAATAGTGCTACACTTTCTCCCATGTTATTATTCAACCTTTAGGAAATGAGCAGATATTATTGTAATTCAGGTTGAATGTATAACAGTAGTTTAGTCTTTCTATATGCACTTATAGTCTCTTTATTGTCTTTCTTATCATTGAATAATACGGTGTGTGACATGTTTAAAAAATTCAGTGTTTGTAACATCCCATCCCACATGGGTTGTGAGAAGAATTTTGGTAGCTACATGTCAACACGACCTTGATAATTTTGCGCCAGTGGCAGGGCCACGAGGTCCTTACAGTTCTTCACTCTCCGTCCTACATTGTTTACCTGTCATGCTGGTGCGGATTTTTGTTGGCATGAGTGTAAACTGGGGCATTACGATGTTTGTTTTCAACTAATGTCCTCTACATCTATTTTAAACATTTACAGCACATTTGGTATATGCAGTCTTAGAAAGGAGTGAGAATTTTAGGGACAAGATTTTAATTTCTTTTCTTTCTGAGTCATGTCCAGTGTTGTGTTATCCACCTTACTCTACTTGCACTTTGGGTTTGGCTCTACATGCCACGGGATTCGAAATTTTTGGCTAATATTCTAAGCTTTTGTGCCTTGCAAATGTTTGTTTTGGTATGCTTTGATTTAATTACATCTATTATATGATTACTAGATGACAGATCTCAAGCTCTCTGTTGACCTCTTGGAAAAGGAAAGGGATTTTTACTTCGCAAAATTACGAGATGTAGAAATCATATGTCAGATGCCGGAGTTGGAAAATATTCCAGTAAGATTTTCACTATGGTCGCATTTTTTGTACTTGATGTTTCTTTCTTAATCTACATGCACTGTTTCAATTTCAATTACTATAACAAGTTGTTTCAAAACATGTCCAGAAAATGATATTTTTCTTAATTTCTAAGTGAAAACGTCACTTATTTTGAAAGCAAAATTTTCAAGCTAATTATGGTAAAGCTCTCAAACTAGCTAAGTTGCCATTTTCATCGATGTTCTTGCAGATGGCTGTGGCAATTAAGAAGATATTATACGCTGCAGACGAGAAAGAGTCTGTACTAGCAGAAGCTCAAGAAATCATATCCCAATCACTGGACATGGGAGAAGCTGAATATACAGATGACGATCACTGAACCCGACAATGCTAAAACGGAAAAGAAACTGTTGGCATATTTAGGTTGCTGCTGATCTTTTACCATCTACATATGCTGGATGAATGGCCGTGGTAGTGACATTTTTCGTTCTTCTTAGCTTTTTCTCGGATTTGTAAATTGTATTGTCGAGGGAACAAAATATTCAGGATATTGAGCTTGTTGGGTGAGAAGAACATTTGATTTTATTGTTAAATTATTGGTTGCTCCTCCATTAGTTTCTTCTGTATTTTTGTTTTCATTTGTTGGCAAAATATGTTTTAAGCGTATTTTTTTAATTAATTTTTGGCTTATTTCACGACATAAAAAATTAATGCAATCATATGAAAATTTTAATCCCCTATCAATTACTACATTTTGAACAACCTAAAAAGATGCTAGACTCATAATTTTAACTCACAAAGAAACATTTATCCAAATAAATAAATTGTTTCGCTACGTCATCCCAACATGGGCATTTGGTCTAGTGGTATGATTCTCGCTTAGGGTGCGAGAGGTCCCGAGTTCAATTCTCGGAATGCCCCAAAAATTTAATTTTTAAATATTACAATCATAGAGTTGGGCCAGGTTTTGCAGATATGATCTTGGGCCTTTGGCCCATTTACATTTTTCTTCCACATTTCTTAGACTTTTGCCTTCTGTCAAAGCGGATCCGTATCCGAAAATAATGCAATAATATGTGGAATTTAGATCAAATAGCCTCTTTTCTATTGATGCTTTATAATGAAAATAATTCTATTTTACACCATTGATCTCAAACACCCGTCTAAATGATAATTACACGACATTCAAGAATAGATTCACTTAAATGTAATATTATACGATTAATTTCATTAAACATATCTAGTGTAACTATCCAAATCCGTGCTCTTGCACCATCGATGCTCGATATCATTGTTCTCATAATTATGGTAAAATTTCCATCGGATCCCGAATTGAAACCTTCAAATATTATCAGCGCCATCTTTAAATTTTCATTTTAATAATATCGTAGGTCCTTATGGACACTTTCCGTTCAAATTACCGTTAAAAGTCAAATTTTTATTGAAATTGACAATAACAATGCATCATCCATTACACCACAATAAACATTAAAGGGAAACATCAAGTCATGGGATCCTCTTTACCATGTTTTTGAGAGAAACGAAAGTACTTAGCAGCTGCAATTAACAATGCTCAGTACTTATAGTCATCGTCATGAAATGCATGGTCGTGACTACTGGAAGATGTCGTATCTCTATTAACCTGCATCGAAAAACAAACCAAACGAGCCTCGTATAAATCCAAATACCAAAAGTAGGATTTTTCAAAACAGACGGATTTAGCATACCCTATGAATTATCCTCTCGAATGCTTCGGGTCCATTTTCTTCAATGTACATCTCCGCTGCAGTTAGAATGTCGTCGTGCTTACTAGACACTATGTTTTTCCATGAAACGTTTGGAATGTTAATAGTTTTTTGTTGCGTAACAAGGTACGGCCTAACATAATGTTCGTACACGTGCGATGCACCGCTGAAGTACGGTATGACCAACCAGCACGTGAAAATCAGCTTTGCATATGACCAAAAAGGGATCCTAACACACATTGAGAAATTAAAGTTTTGAACTCAATCGAGTAATCCTAACCAATGATTTAGTATATACAAGTAGATATTGAAAACATTACTAGAAAGAAAATCAAGAGAGAAGCTGCGGGAATTAAATATGGGCGAAACAAAATATACCACTCGATTAGTTTAGCGAATGTAAGCTCGAAAATTGTAATCATAGAGTAGAGAATCCAATAAGTAAGCCATTGTTGATCGTCCACTCGAGATTTTGTCTCAATTGCCCGAATCGACGCATATCTGCCAATGAATTCAAAACGCCAAAACCATATTTTAATAAGCTCGAGCACTTAAATTGTAATTAAACTTAATTATGATATATGAAAGCAAAAACCCACTTACAAAGGATAAACAAGACTAACCACGGGCCTGCAATATCAAAGACATAATACCCAAATCAGTATAACCTATATTTACAATATTGTGTCAAAAACTACGGTTAGTCACCTAACTTAGAGCTTTTTTTAACGGTCATATCTATTTCAGCACAACCCTGTTTTGCTGGTTAACGGATTTTGACTTGGCTAACGGAAATGATAGTATGATATAAGATATGAGGTATCGATACGGACACGTCGATACGCGATTTTTAAAAAACGCATAACATCTTAATTAAATTTTTTAAAATTCTTCATTACTTTAATTTTATACTTATTTATTAATTTTTCTTTATAAAATCTTTTAAAATACAGAGAAACAGAATCTGTTGGTGCACTATATTTATTTTCTAGCAAGGTTAAAACATGTTAGATGAGTCGAGTTTTATACGCTGAGTCACTGGTCGGGTTTTCATTTAAGAGGCTGAGTCAAAAAAAAAAAAAAAAAAGCCCTATGAATAGTGATGGCAACGGGGCAGGTTCGGGGCGGGGCTCTCCCGCACCCCGCCCCGCCTTCGACGGGGTGGAGCAATTTTCTTGCCTTGTTTAATTTTTTATTTTTTTTAATTCTGAGTTTAATAAAATACGAATAACATTCAAGTTGAACTTTTAATAAAGAATGCTCTTACTTTATGTAAATTTAAGTTTTTATTTTGGAATAAAATTACTTATAGTGTAAAATGATTTTTAGAGAATGTGTGAATAAAAAGTATGAAAAAATTATAGGTCTACATGTAAATTATGTTATTAAAAAAATTGTGATAGAAAATAAGTTTAAATAAAATATGTTTTTGAAATATGTTGCATAGATGAACTCTATATAATATAAAAATAAATAAATAATAATAATAATAATTCCACGGGACGGGTTCGGGGCGGGGCATCCTCGCCCCGTCCCGCGCCCCACGATGGGGCAGGACGGCATCGGGGCGGGGCGGGACGGGATAAATTGCCATCACTACCTATGAACGACCTTTTTTAATTAAGATAGCTTAAAGATACAAAGAAAAAGAAAATACAATTTGTAAATTACTAAAATATCTTTGTATGTAAAAATACATAATGCCCTAATTCTCCTTTCAATTTCCATTTAGCCCTAATTTAGTTTTGGGTTCCTTTCTTCTACAGTGGGTCGAGATATCTATGCAGTTATTCTTCCTTTTTACCATCATTTTCTCTCCTTCATGAAACCCTTAAGTCTAATGTTATTATTCTTTTGAACACTCACTTGATTGAAGTAAGCCATCAAAGTTTACAATATTCTTGATGGGCTAACCGAAATAATAATATGACATGGACTTATGATGCACCGATTTGCGCCCACACGTATTGAACACGACGACACACGATGTCTTGAAGTACACGACACATCGGTTAAATTCTTTAAAATTCTTCAAATTAAAGCATAAATATAGTTTCATACTTATATTATTGACTTTTCTTCTTAAAATCTTTCACACAGCCAGAGAATCTGTTGGTGCACTTGCACTTACTTTTTTTTTTTTTTTTTTTTTGTGGGTTGAATATTTTTAATTTTTTTTAATTTTATGTGATTGGAGCACTTATTTAAAAAAAGGAAAAAAGGTTTTTTTTTTTTAAACTACGGCACGATATATGATATACTTGAACTTGTGTATTGTGACCAAATATAGGTTTACTATTTGTTTCTAATCAAAGAATCAAATTCCTTTTGCTTCTTTTCTTTTCTTTCTTAAGTCTTCTAAGTTACAATTACTCACTCAGATCCTAGTTTGAATTCAGCAAGGCTGAAGCATTTTATGATAGATGGGTCGAGCTGAGTCACTAAAAATGTTTTTTTAACGCATCATAATATCACCTTATAAAAGCACTTTTACAAGAAACTAAGGAAAGATTTTCTCACTAAAATCCTCATAGAACACAAATTCTATGAACAAAAGAAGTTTAAGGAAAGAGGGAGAGATGAAAAAATACCCAGCAAGAACGTCGGTGTTTTTTAATAGGACTTTAAGGAAGCTTCCGGCCTCAGATCCCTCCATCTTTAAATTGACAGAAAGACTGGTTGATTTGTTCGAAGAATTCAATAAAGAGAGATGTACAATAAAGAGTTTCAGTTTCCGCAAGAAGAGATGGAGTTGAAAGAGTGTGTAGCTGTGTGCATAGTAAGACAGTGAGTAAGGGTTGGGGGGCTAATTTTTAATGGTTTCTTTTTGAAAGATTCTTCTAGATTAGGCTTATCCTAAAGGAAAGTGAATCTCTTTAGAAGATTCTTCTTTTAACATAAACGGTTAATATTATATATACACAATAGTGTACACACAGCATTACACCTCCCTCACGTGGAGGGAGCCCATGTACAATAAAATATTCGTGGGCCCCTTCATGTGATGGAGGTATAATCTATTGTGTACACCTCATAATGTACACATAGAAGTATCTAATATAATTTCATTGCATATTGGACAAGAATAATGTATATGTTCTCGATGGGGATGCTACCATGTGATGTGATAAATATTGTGAGAGAATCATAAGATCAACTAAATAAGTTGATATGGCACCCATTTATTGATCTTATCATTTAATATCATTCGATGCATGTAAGTTGTCACATTATTCTTCGGAGAAATACATTAAAAGCAAGGTCATATATGCACATATGATGAGACTATTTAAATAAATTATGATACCTTAGACTTTGAATCACTCAAATTTCAGTGATAGTGGTGGTAATCGTGTTGGTGGTTGTTGGTGAGTTTTTAGTGGTAGTGGTGCAGGTTGTTGGTGGATTGCAACATGGTGACGGCGCGACTTATTAAATAAATAATATTTGATTAATAAATAATATGTGATCTATAAAATAGATAATTTGTGAACAAATAATGTATATTCTTAAAAAAATTAATTTGGGGCCTAAAATTATTTTGTGGCCATTTAATTTAAAATTCTGTGACCACGAAATAAGTTGTGATCAATAACTTGTGACCAATTTTTTTAATATATGATTGATAATAAATTTGACCCATAAAATTTTGATATGTAACCGTGAAATAATTTGTTACTTATAAAATTTTTGATTTGTGATCGATAAATAATTTTTGATCAATTCATTCTGTAATTTGTGACTAAATTGTGTATAATTGAGTCTTTAATATATTTAATGCATAAAATATATTATTAATTAATTATTTTTTAAATAAAATTTAATAATATTTGATTTTTGAAATTTTAAAACTTGTTTCTTAATTTTGAAGTGGGTTATAGTTAACACCTTATATATGAAATTTTCCCAATTCAATATTTGTTCAATGAGCCCATTAAGAAAGTGGGCCATTCTGAACAATCCAGATGAATGAATTTGCAGGGTCAGGCCCAGTAGGGTCGATAAAGACTACCAACGCTCTTCTTGGCGCCAGCAAATTGCAATGGAGAGTGGAATTGTCAGAGAAAAATGGTACAGATGTTAAGGTACAAGCATGTTGGCCTCACATACGAGTCAAGACCTGGAGCTATCATAACGCCCCCCACCCCAAATAGCCCATTTTCGCGGCCTATATTCTCCCAATTGAATAAGGGGTATTTTAAAAAATGTCCAATTCTGTGGGGATCAATTTAAAAATATCCACTTTTTAAATTTAGTAATAAACTGTCTATTATATTCTTAATTTAAAAAATGAAGCAATTAATTTTTTTTCAATTTGACGCAGATTTCAAGAAGTAGCTTCCATGAAGAACTACATTAAAAGGATGGTCTCGACATTTCAAATGTCGTTCTCAATATTTAAACTCCATTTATATTTCAAAAGTATACATGTTAAATCAAAACATTAAGGGTGCGGTTGATTTGTCGTTTTCGGACCATTTTCCGTTTTCCATTTTCTAAAACTAGGAAAACGCGTTTGGTCTGTCATTTTCGAAAATGCATTTTTGAAAACGAGTTAAAATTTATAACTGAAAACGCAAAACGACTTTTTATTATTTTGAGCGTTTTCAGTTATAAATTGCCAAAACGCTCAAAACGCGGAAAACGAGCCGTTTTCAGGAAAAACTAACAATCGTTTTGAAAATGAAAATGGAAAATGGAAATGGAAATCAACCGCTACCTAAGTGTTCTCGACATTTCAAATGTTGTTCTCGACATATTAAATGTCTAAAATGACATTTCATTCCGAATATGGCATTTCTCTTCACTTAAAATGTAGTTCTCGACATTTCTGTATCAATGCGAAAAATAACATTTATTGTGATTTGACATATGCACTTTTAAAATAAATATGGTAGGTTATGTGTCAAAACTTTATTCACCAATAAAATTTTTAATTGCAAAATGTTCATTTTTGTCTTTGTGTGGAATCATAAATTGTTAATAAGGGTATTTTGGACTAAATTATTCTAAAATGGACATTTTTTTTAAGGATTTACAATTATGGACATTTTTGTAATGGATAAGTGAAAGTGGACATTTCTAGTAATTTCCTCATTGGAAATAATTCTGCTCCCATGGGTTTAAATCCTGGATTGGACTATTTTCTTTTTTATTTATTTATTTTTTTGAACTATCCAATCAATTGCTGACACGTGACACTTGGATCCAAACCCTGTTTTTTATCCTTGTGTGTTTAGCATCGTTCCTCCCAATTTAAGTGACAAATGTTGCATATTTTAAGCAAGACGCAAATTCCATAATACCATTTTAGGTCATAGTGAAGTTCATATCTCGTCATAAATTTTTTTTATTTCTCTCTATTTCATAATAAGTAAAACAAACATACTGTACCTTGCAAGTTTTCCAAATATTTCATAAAATAAGCTTTTTAGATTTGCCCAATAACCAATTCTTGTATGAATTGAAGCTCATCGTTCATTCCCTCGAATGTGTTGATTAGACAACCGAGTCTATACTGACTAGAATGAATATCACATGTCTAAATGCAAGAGCTTGTTTCATACTCCTTGATGACTCAAATTAGAAAGAGTATCATGTGTGCATAGACAAATAAACGTATAGAAGGGAAATTAAAACAAAAATCCATATTTATAGCAATTCATGGGAAAATAAATTGTAGAATAGAAGTACATATATCTCTTATCAAAAATTAAAAAATAAAAATAAATATATATGAAAAAATAATGCATAACAAGATAACGTTGTGTAAAGGGTAAAAAGATCAAACGTTCCAATACACAATCTTAAAAATATATTACCTTAATTTCTCCAAACCCTAAATACTCCACATTAATCACACAAAAAATATTTGGAAAATATTAAAGTCAAAGCAAAGCAAAAACTCAATGATGATCATTCATGAATGGTGGCTCGTCGTCTCGTGCCGATCATCGCCGCCTCCGTGGGAACCTCTCACCTGAGATTCCGATACTTCGTCACCAGACCGATATGGATTTAGCCCCGCTAACCCCAATTGCCCCTCCCCTAATCCGCCGGTGCTTAACTGTTGATTAGGCAATAGCGCCACGGCCGTCGGAAAATTCATGAAATTCAACCCACTAGACATAGTACCTCTATATAAAGCGGCAGCACTATTATATGTTGGATCACCTCCCATAACTTGGTTACTGGAATTTGGAATCATCCAAAAATTGGACGGAACTGAGGCATGATTCGCCGGCATCGACCCCGTGGTTGACTGTAGTAAATAAGTTCCCATTTGGTGGTGATGCAGTGGCTGCAACTCTTGCTCCACCCTCCGCTTCCGCCCTAAACTATCCTCAGCCTCCTTTAAGTGTAATGAGTGTTGGTTTATTTCTTGCTTAGCTTGCATCAAACTAGGGTTTAAATTTCCGGCCTGAAAATTCAACAAGGTTGTCAAGGAATTCTCCGATGATAAGCCCGGAAAAAGGCCACGGCGTTGTTGCATCGAAAAATTCGGATTGAAATAGGTAGATCTTAATTGAGATGGTACTGATATGCTAGAACCCGAGCTGCGTAAGCTTATATTGAGGGAAGTGAAATTCGCGGGGATTGTACCTGTTGGAGACAAGAATTAAATGAATTAAAAGCACCCATTCTTGAAAAATTATGCACTTCTGATAAAAGAGATTTGCAGGTGAGGAGGGTATTGAAGACAAGAATTTAACGAATTAATGTGTAATAGTTCTAATATCTTAAATTTTTAGATGAGATAGTTAATTGTACCGGTGCCAGTGGCAGCAATAACTGCCGGCTCGGCTTGTTGGAGCAGCCATTCGATGGTTTCCCCATCAGTCTTGTGACCTAACTCGCGTGTAAGCTGGAAAACCCTAGCAGCGCAAAGAGCGGGCATGCGGATGCGCCGGCCACGTCCATCGACTTTTGTGTGGCGATCTTTTGTCGACGTTCGCTTGGGCGGTGGCTTCTTGGATGGCTCTGCGGTGTCGAGGCCGGTGGAGGCAGCAGTTGATCGAGTGATGATGCTAAGGTTGGACGCATCCGCAGAGATGGCTAAGGAAGAGTAGACGGAACTGGTGGAGCAGCCGGTTTCGTCTTCCCTCTTTTCAAGCAATTGGAATGGAAAGTTGGGGCGACGGTTATCTTGGAGATGATCATCACCTAATCCTTCCATGATTTCTTGAGATAAAACCAAGAAAATACCACCATTAACAACTTTCCTTAGCCTCTTTGATTCTCTGTGAACATGTTCTCTCTCTACAATTATGAAAGAAAAAGGGTTTGATTCAGACAAGAGCTAATCTAATCTAAGACCTTTGTGTAATGGAAAGACTAGTAAGCTCATTATTATGAAAAAGGAGAAAAAAAATTGTTCGTTTAAGAGAGAGGTTGGGTCAAGAATGGGGAGCATGAACAGCGAAGCGAACTACGCTGCAACTGAACAATAAGTTGAATTATTGAATGCATCAGCTATCTGTTGCTCACGTTGAACAAGCACGCGTCCTCCAAACCAACATTCTTAAGATCAAAGAGTCAAACCAACGTCGAACGAAACTAGTTCTCCTGCAGCTAGAACCTGTAGAACAACTGAAATCACTCTCTAATTAAATTTGATACCCTAAAATCACTTTCACCCTCTATATGTTGCTTCAGCCATCAAATACACAGTTACAGAAAGATAGAAAGAGAGAGAGAGAGACAGAGAAAAAGGGTGACAGATATTTCAGAAAAAAAAAAAAAAGATAATGAATAGGAATTATAGGGGTGAACTTTGAAAAGAAAAAAATTTAACAAAGGCAAAAGATTTTTGGGCTCTTTTTTTATGTCTTTTAAAGAAAAACCCTTGATTTGAAATTGCAGCGAAAAGAAGAAAACAATGGAGATTTTCAGATTTCTACTGTCCTCTTGAAAACCAATTATCTGAAATGGTTTCTTTTTATTGTGGTTGGACAGACAGGCTATGTTTCAGAGTCCACGTGAGGTGCTCTTTTTATCATTCAGTCCATAGAGACAGTGGTGGGACCCAATCCCCAGTCAAAAAATATTGAGAAATTTTTAGAAAGAAAAGGTTTAATCAATCAAAGGTGGAAATGGGTCCCATCTCCATTCATGTATAATCATTTCTATTTTGGCCTTTACCCCCTTTGCCTTTGCTTTATGAACATTTGTTCAGGCTTAATCAATGTCTTAATAACTTAAATAAATACTAAAAAATACGTTTAATAAAGATTATATAAGATTAAAATAGGATGCTAATTGAATCGAGTTGATTAGCTCGTCTTATCAAGCAAATCAGCCAATGCTAGCTTTGGAACATGTCCAACACGAGCCAGCACGCTTGAAGAAAATGCGACTTGGCTCACCCCTTAGGTGGGATGAGCAGAGCTGACAAGCACCCTTTTTTTAAAAAAAAAAAATTGGTTCTCAATTTTGGGACGGGCACATGTGAGACTTCCAATTGATCTATGTGAGTTGACATGCGAATCACCCCTCTTAACATTCCTATTAAAGGAGATAATTGAACATATTTTATTCCTTATTTTCTTTGTTGTTAGCTAATTCATTTAAAAATTTAATAAAACTAGTCTGCGTCTCGTGCGTTGCACGAATTTTGTATTTATTTTGGTGTTATTAAAGCAAAATTTATAGATTGTACAAAAAGTATTTGAAAATAAGAAATGTTTGTTTGATTCTCATCTTTTGGTCGACTGTATATTTTATGTTACGATAATTTATTTTTATTCTTATAAATAAGTATAGTGAATGTTGTGATTGTATATATGTCAACGATAATTTATTTTTAATTATTT